TAGGTTTATGTGCATGAAAATTGAATAAATATGCACGTGATTAAATACAGTGGATTCTCATTAATCGTGATAGTTATGATCTTTAAAATTGCTGCAAACATTCAATCAATGAATCTACATAATCACATAGATTATAATTGTAAATTCTCAAAAGAACTTGTCCTAATACATTCTACTTTCTTGACTTTACACAAAGAAAATGAGGCTCAGAAGTGTTAAATGACTTGTCTGAGACTGTGCCACTAACAGGTGCCAGAGAAGGGTTTCAAACCTCTCCCCCTGGCCTCAGAAGTGAAACAAAAAGTCCCAGTGTCACCTTGTTTGACCTCAGCTAGAAACTTGCATGTCTAGTGACTGGAACTTTTTGCCACTCTGTGCATATCCACAAACAACCGTTGAGCATTGATTTTGGGGTTACAAATCAATTTTAGCAAAGGTGAATTTGCAAATAATGGAATTCATGGATAATGATTATCGACTGTATTCAAGCATATTCCACCTAGGTTATGAGTTCTGTATTTAGTTTAGAAAGAAACTGACTTCTGAATAGAAAAGCAGAATTTTTAAGTTAATTTGCTGTATATTTCTCTCTGTTTTAAACTACAATTGACCCTTAAATAACTGGATTTGAACTGTGTGAGTCTACTTACATGTAGACTTTTTCAAGAAATATTATAAATGTATTTTCTCTTCCTTATGATTTTCTTAATAACATTTTATTTTCTCTAGCTTACGTTATTGTAAGAATATCATATATAATACATATAATATACAAAGTGTGTTAATTAATTGTTTATGTTATTGGTAAGGCTTCTGGTTAGTAGGCTATTAGCAGTTTAGTTTTTAGGGAGTCACAGGTTACACGTGGATTTTCAACTGCACAGGAGTCAGCACCCTTAACCCCATGTTGTTCAAGGGTCAACTGTGTAGAATAACTATTTAAAGTGAAGTCAAATAAAAATAATTACCAAGGTTAAAATCAGGCAGAAAGAAAATAATACAGGCATCTATTAATGAAATGCATGTGCCTTTGTCTCTGTGTAATGCTTGATAGCATCATTGTCATCTTTTTAGATGCAAAAACATCCTAGGAGGCAAGGATTTGGCCATCTTGATACCATGGGAATTCCCAGTGTTCATCATAAATCATTAAAGTGATTGTGCAGATCTTACTTAGATTAAAATGAATATAGGTTATTTTCCAAAAGTGAATTGTATTTAAGCCAAAAATTTTAGAAAATTATTTAGAATTACATTTATTATAAATTGTTTGATTTCTTCATTGATTTTTCTCTGAGAAAAATTGTTAAAGCATAAATCATTTTTATTTTACTGTATTTATTTCATTGAATGCCGATTTCATGCTTAACTAAGGTTTTCAAAGTCTTTCACATTTTGCTTTTGTGAACAAAATATGAATTAATACAGTAAGCTCTAAGACAACATTATAGATACCATAAGAATAGAGTAATATAGGCATTTTATGTTAATTTCTTTATAATATGAAATGCTAATATTGCTTAAAAAACTTCAGTAAACATTTCTCCTAGATTTTAATATTTTCAATCCCTTTCTTCTTGATTAAGAAGCTGCTTTGTGATCATAGATTTTGCCTGAATGACCTTAAAATAATTTCTTCACATTAACTGCAAATAATTTATAGTATCACTTACTAGAGTTAAATCTCAAAGCAGTGTGATCAGTATCTGTGAGCACAAGTCACTGAAAGATCAGTTTAATGAACAGCAAAATTGAGTCGTCTTTCACAATTTAGTATGCAATATAGGAATTCTGTACCCCAAATTTTAACATGATTTTCCATCATATAATATTTTGGAATGGTTTTAATTAGACCCAAAGTTCTAAAATTATTGAAGCCATAGACTCTCAAGCTATGGGTAAAGACATCTTTTTATGTCATGCTTCTTAAATCAAAAACAAAGTGGAATTAATAATTATGAAAACATTTAAAATTTAATTTTGGAAGGAAAGGACGTTTTAGAAATACTCATCCAAAATAATTGCCAACTCAGGATGAAGTACGAATTAAGAAATGTATCTACCATGGTCTCAAACATTATTGATCATTCTTTCTCATATAGTGTCTTCCATTTGTATTTACAATACTGTACTTTCTTAGTTCTTCTCTCAAGTCTTCCTTTGAGAAAAGAAACATAAAGATGCAGTGATATTGAATGTTGTGTCTTGGAGAACATGATCCAACACAAAGTAGTCAGGCTTCTGCCGATTAACTCTCAAAGAATAACTCAGAGCCATTAGTTTAAAGGTTTGAGTACTTACTCCTATGCATCTACCTTGGTGAAGACTGTCTCCCACTTCAAAGGCAAGGGTGAGACTTATACAAGCCTTTCTCAAGGAGAAGGGCTTGTCCTCGGTTTGTCATTTTGGCATTGGCATGGGCTGAATGCTGAGACCCAAGTCCATATGTTGAGTTGAGATAGAATAGTCTCAAGTGTACCAAAAAGGCTTTTTTTTTTTTTGACAATTCTGAAGAGTGTTATTAGAAGCAGTTACTGTGGCTGCTTCTTCTGGGGTTCTAACTGCTTGCTGTATAAATCCGCCAGGCTCCAGTTCATTAGGAGAGAAGTCTTTATTCACTTTCTCAAGGATCATCCAAAATATCCAGAACTCCAACAAACAAAACCACTTTATAGGTAGCAAAAAGAAGGAAGTACAAGGATAAGGGTGTGCCCTTTTTCTGTTAGGGAAGCATCCCAGAAATACCGCGCAGCACTTTTGCTTGTAGCCCATCAGCCAAATCTTAATCAGGTGACCGAAAGTAGCTGGAAGGAAGACTAAGAAACCACCCTTCTCCACATACATATCAAAATAAAAGGAGAGTTTTGTCAGTGAGAAAGAAAGGGCCAGTGATTAATGATTGGATAGACAGCCAATAATTTCTACCATGAGGGGACACAAGGGAGACTCATTTTATCTCCAGATAGTACAGTCATCTAATATTTCATCAGTCTGGCTTCATCGGCATAATGAGGCCTTTTGATCTTTAAATATCTTAATAAAATAACATATAGTAATATTAAATATCCTGTTTTTATTTTTTTTAACTCTTGCTAACATTCGTCTCACATAGATTTCCAGACACAAATTTAAAAACATGCAATTTAAAATATGAGCAGAATGCAAGTCTGGTATACTGCCTCTATGACTAACTTTCATATATAATATACAATCTAATAAGCATAACATTTTCTGAATAAAACCCTAATCTGTTCTATAGGTTTAATCAGGAAGGTAGCATAATAGAACAAGACATAAGCTATTAGTATTTTTTTTAGAACCTTTTACAGATATCTCTATTTTCTTCTTTTTACACACACGGTAATATTACACTTAATCAGTGATGTTGAGGTTAACGTGTGGCCAATGGCATGTGAGAAGTGCCAAATGTTTTCTCCAAGTTGTAGCATTAAGATCCCATGAGCAATTATCCTGGTTCCCTTTCCCTGCCACAACTATTAGAGAAGCACATATAAAAATGGAACTTCCTTCACCAGGGACTTCTGAGTGCATCCTTTCCACCTAGGATAGACATGTGAGAGCAAGAAATAAATGATTGAGATAATCCACTGAGATAGAAGGTTGTTAAGTACAGCATGACCTGGCTTATACTAATACTCCTCCTCAGACTCACTTCAGTTAAAATCTCTCCAAATAATAAATTTTGTCTTCTGAAATGAGCAGTAGAATACAGAAATTATCTTTCAGGTGGCACAAAAAAGATTGTCATTTTTTAAAAAATTTATTAATAGGCTATCTATAAACTGCTCTTTTAAAGCAACAAATACTTATAAAACAACACATTTGAAACCAGGTAGTTGATAAAACTTTATATTTATCACATATTTTACTATGGGAACATGACCCAAAAACATAAGCAAGAGCAATTAAGAAGGTTTTATTCTAATGATGTTCAAAAGATTATCAGAAAGGATTGGGACAGGAGACTGATTTTAGCCACACTTTAAAATGAGCACTTTGTAAATAATTTCTTACACCGATATGACTTATTCTTTTTCCAGCAATATTCAATTATTTATCATTCAATACTTAACAAGTGACGCCACAAGTGTTCTTAGTACTAGAGAAATATAAAGGTTCACAGATCTGGTCCTCAAAGAGGCAACCATCAAGTAGAGAAGAAAAAAATCTATGGAGGCAATTGTTTGGGGCAGAATGCATTTAATACTATATGTTAGACCAAAAGGAAAAAAAAATTCTCTGAATTCTCTGTGAGCTGATTGGCAAGGAATATCACTATCTAGATATTATATTATAGAGATCTTCATGGAAGAAAAGACATTTAAAGAGAATAATAGATACTAAGCACCTTTTTCCAATGTACACACTAGACTCTGGTGTTCTCTTTTATCTTATATAAATTGGTATCTGAATAGAAATAAGATCTTGATGGCCAGAATCTAGAGCAGGAGGGGAGTTTGCCTACAAGTATAGAAGGAACATGGGAAGAGGGGATTGCAGAAGCAATGAGGTGGGGGGCAGGCAAGGGAAAGTACAAGACACATGCTTATGCAAACGGACTATTGGAGAGTATGAATTAAGGTTGAGAAGGTGTTGAACTGTTTATCATTCTGCTTTGTAAGTATTTCTTGCAGAACTACTTTGCATGACACACCATATACTCCATGAGCTTAGGGGCTTTCAGCATTCATCTTTGTGTCCCAGAATAGTGTGGCCCAGAATAAGCCACTCAAAAGAAAGAAGGCCTTGGTAGGGATATTTTTCTGAATACTGATTCTTGCTAAAAACCCCAAAAAGCTGGATTCTGGAGAGTTATGATTTTAAAATATTTCATTCTACTACACTGAATAATTAGTAATAATTAGAACTAGGCAAGTCTCTAAGGAAAGAAGAGTGAATCGGAGGCTAGATATATATAGTAAGAGTAACAATCTGCTATGATTCTCTTGCTCTAGATTAGGGTTTTATACATGCTTTTAATGCCATCAGGCTCTTTGACAGTCTGATGAAGCCTATTACACTTTATAGAATAGTGTTTTATAAATACACAAAATAAGATACAAGGATTACAAAGTATCTAAATCTGCTCCAGCTGTCATAGCAAAATGCCATAGAATGGGTGGCTTACACAACAGAAATGTATTTCTCATAGTTTTGAAGACTGGGAATTCCAAGGTGGCAGCAAAGGTAGGTTTCATGCTGATGCCTTTGCTTTAGACTTGTAAGTGGCAGCCATCTCGCTGTGTACTCACATGACCTCTTCTTTGTATGCACATGGGGAGAGAATGAACTCCCTGGCATCTCTTCTTATAAGGACACTAATTCTATCATATCAGAGCCCCACTCATATGACCTCCTTTTTAATGTTAATTACCTTCTTATAGTCCCTATCTCCAAATGCAGTTATTTTTGGATTTAGGGCTTAAACTTATGAATGTAAGGGTAACACAATTCACTCTGTAGCATAGAGGAAACTAATACTCCAGTAGATTATCAAAATATTTAAAAATTATAATATATTGAAATATATACTTTGTCATTAACACAATACATAATAAGATCTAATGGTGGAGATAGTAACTACCATACTTTAAAAGTAGTAATGAACATAATAGCTAAAAGTATGTGCAAGAACTGAAATGTGGTATAAACATATATGTGATTATTTGGAGATCAAGTCATAGTATAGCTAATACTACTGTGGTTTGGTTTTAATTGCTGTTGAGTTACTGGAAGTCAAGATAAAATTTTCCCCATTTAAATTCACAGATCCACTCTGTCCTTTAATGCCAGGTTAGCACCCCTTCCTTTAGAGATTTCTCAACTGCTTAGGGGCCAAAGTGGTACCAAAACCAGCAAACATGCCATTCTTACTGCCTTCCAGGAGGCCACCAG